TCGGAGAGAGTAAAACATGCATTTAGTAAATTGTACAACTTTTCTGGAGCAGCACACTACAGCACTCCTCCTACATACCCAGATGGAATAAATGTCACGAACAAAGGGCAAATGTTCCATTGTCGGCAATTCAGTTCAACCATCTGAAAGGCAAAATGAAATTATTCACTTCCTGCAATATTGTTTCTGCATTGAACCCTAACGATTCGCTGAAATATCTTCGAATGCACTCTCATCATTCACACTTCATTTACCCAATTTATTCTGCAAAATATGGCATATTTCAAAGTGTTACTGACTTCAATTGCCCCTAGGCAGAAGAAACCTTGCAATCGCTTCGGAATTTTGCAAGGTACTGACAAGCAACTAACCGTTCATAGACGTCTCGAACGAGAGGATTGGATGTGGTGACAACGTTGGGGAATTGGACAAATTGCCGTATGAGAAAGACCGTGGCCACAGTGATGGCATCTGTGTAGCGGAATGTGAAGCTGTAGTATGTGTCCGTGCAATGCTCGTGAAGGCCCTGACTAGCCATGATGATGCTCTGTTGCATCACCTCCACCACTGCCACGTGGGTGACCACTCGGAACGCCGCCGTGTCTGTAGTATCAGTGCCCGTCGGCAAAGCAGTCACCTCCTCGTCTTGACAACCTGTTGCGTCGCACTCATGCTCCTCGATGAGGAAATCGCGGATCTGGTTGCGCAACACGTACGCCAGGGTCACTCCCAGCCTAGTCTTCCAATGAGGGTACATAAATCCTGCTGTACAATTGTGCTTAGCAGATGTGCTACTTTCGCAGTCTGAACTTTCACATCAAGACCAACGTGCTCATTTCTATGGATAACTCTTAATTTGCGGCTCTAGAGTCTTCACAATTTCAACACACATGACTGATTTCGCTCCCCCCAAGCGATCGTCCTCATGCATGATCTGGCTACTCATTTAAAATCTGTGTTTTCACTTTCCTGATTATCATTTTGGGAAAAATATGAGTGAATTTAAGGGAGATTTAGTTATGCATTTTCATTATACTGTTCTTTGGACACAAATTCCGCAATAACAGAAAGTTTGGGTGGCAACAATAAATACATTTTCCAGTGTGTTCAAACTTGATTTTACAATAGTACACCTGGTGCGTGATTTTCATTGCGAAATTGAATCCGTTTCATGGGAGATGTTCGAGCAACTGGGACCAGTTTGAAGCATGAGTAGCCGTGGTTAGTTGCCTTGGTATTAACTGCTTCAAACTGGCACCTCCAAGCATAATCGCATTTGTCCTTCAAAGTACCTTATAACTGCTTCATAATACTAAAGTGGCTCAGCAATCCATATCTAAGTTATTCCTCATTACTTCAGCAACTCGACTAGTCTGATGATGAAGAGCTCCGCCCACGTCAACCAGGCTTCGTTCAGACGGTTCACCTGATCCACCACCTCTTTGAGTGTGACTCTTACAATACAAAGCTTTTCATAGAATGCAGGATAAATTCTCACCTTTTTAATTTGGTGATACTTGCAGCCCCTCATCATGCTGATGGTGAGCCTGGAC